GCATGTAAGTACAAATCATTAGATTTGTAGAGTTTATTATCGAATTTTCAATCTTAGTGGAGTTTTTTCTTGTTATTTTTCATTTTTCATGAATACCTAATGCGTACAATAATTTCAGTGGACTCGTTAATTTATGCACAACAACCACTTTTATTGAATGAACATTAAATTAAATTATTCAAATCATCTAATAATTCGTGGTACGAGCATTTTTTAATGATTCTACTAATCGTTAATCAACTTTAATAATTAAAGCAAGATGGTGTGAATTCGGCTCCCCAATACATCGATACAGTTCGATGAATGATTCAATTAATGAGAAATTAAATCTTGAAAGACCCATTTCATTAATTATAATCTATCAAGATTTAATGCACTCGTTTTATTCACAAAATTAAGTCAACTAATTACATGGTATCCACGATGCTATTCTCCCATAATTAATTAAGGTAACCCATGAGTGTTTAATTTAGAGTTGTAAATTAACTTGTAATTAAATCATGTTGTTCTAAAAAATATTTAGGTTATAGCGAATGTATAAATATAGAAGAGATATAAATGTATTTAATTAAAGAAATAAAGATAAAAACATAAATAAATCTCTTGTGATATTTTTAAAATAATTTTTTATAATTTTAAGAAAGGAATTATCTCTTCTACTTTGCGAAGGAAACAAAACATTACCTTAAATGAGACTATAATATATAATGGTGAAATGTCCCACAATTATTAAATGCAAATCCTTCTTTTGAAAATGATTAATTAGGCAGTTCCAAGTCTAGTGCTAAACTACAAAACGTGTAATTACTAGATAGGCCCAAATTAAATAGAAAAGTGCCAGCAAGAAATAAATAAAAATCTAAATACAGCCAAAATACGTATAATTTTTGTAAAAAAAAAAAGATTTCGTAACTTACCATATTTGTCTTTGTCCATAACTTGATGATTAAGGAACACCCCCGTCCCTCTAGGCAACACCCCACTTCCCTTCGAGAATGGTTTATTGAAACGAGGGAGGAAAACCCCCGTGCCTTGTGATTTTCTATAAAAAAGCATGACGTTTCTGCTTTTGAAACCCTAATTATCGGACCATTAGTGAAAACCCTTTAATCAATTTGTAAATTTCATAAAAAGGAAACAAGAGATAATGTTGAGAGGATAAAGATTTACTTCAGTTTGATTATGAGCTGGTGTCATGATCTTTGAACTGTATGTGTTAAAGGGTCCAGATACAACTTCAAATCCATGGTTCCAGCAGCATGGATGGTAGCCATGGTTAACACTTGTAACTTTAGTGCCAACAGGGCTTTCGACATTTGGCTTGAAACCACCCAAAGCGTCACATAGCTGCAGTGGTTATATATTTGGCAATGACAACTTAGATTAGCACACGTAATATCTGTCAACATGTCACTAACAGCAAAATTGATTCACGTGAAAAATCCTCAGCATTACCTTAGGGATTTCCCAGAACATGATATATTTCAGGGCAAAGAAAATTATTCCCAGAAAATGATATATTTCAGGGCAAAGAAAATTAATACTATATAACATTACCTTAGGGATCAAGGAAACAAAGGAAAAGAACTTAAAGCCATAATCAAACAAGAAAATCTGTTGATTAAAGTGCTTAAAGAGAGTGGCCGTAGTGGCAGTACATGTGAGAATGAATCTAGACAAGAGTTAACATGGAAACATCAAAAAATTAAATGGAAAAAAAAAAAACATGAAAAGATACATAGAACAAGGCATGGAGAGATTGAGAAATTGACCTGAATATTTTCTGGTGCAACATTGGCAGAAGATTTTAAGGTGGGATGATCACGAAAAAGAAGAAGATTCTTGTCGTTGTTCTTAACCTTGCTAGCATTTGTTGTCGATATAATTTCAAGAAAAACATCAGAAGGCAGCCATGACTCTCCATCTTCAAGGTTTGGAGGAAAGTCCACCATGCTAATTGGTACCGTGGCTGTAGGGGCTAGGGAAATAAAGGACTTGATTCTTGAGGTTGCTAGGAAGAATCAAATATTGAAGAAGAGGAAAGAAAGAGAGGTGGCTTGCAAGGGTAGAAGAGCTGTCAAGAGAGGTGTAACCGCCAATTGGTAGCATGAAATGAAGGGTGATCAGTGGCAACTTGGTGATGGAAAAGGGATCTCTATCTCTCTATTTATATTTAGGGTGACAGTACCTTAAAAAGGCAATGTGATTCCATTGAATTCTAGGGTGAGTGACTCGTGCTCACTCATTGCCAAAAACTCTAAAAATCGTGGGAGTTTTATTGTAGCTCAAGATACATGTTTACTGTGCATCGCTATAGCGATAAAATTATCATGTTGTTCTTGAATGGAAAAAATAAAGTCTCGAGGGTGGGAATGTTCTGGTATTTTTCACTCTTCTATTGGTCATTAAATGATTTTACGGTGGTGTTTAGTGTTTATGTCTTTTAAAATTTTCAGCACAGTAAAAATATTACCATAAAAATTAATAAAATTTAAAACAGTTGATTAAAGATTTTCTTGAATTTTCATAAGTTTCTTAACAATAAATATATTTATTCGCTTATGATCAAAAAATTATTAAGCTACTGAATAAAAGTTTTCATGGGGTTTACAAATATTCATATACAATAAAATTACATCTTTAATTTTCAAAAAAATAAAGGAATAATAAGCTTTGTATTTGGGGGTATTTTTTACCTCACATAAGTATTTTATATAATTGTCAGGGCTATGAGGGTATTTTCATATTTTTATATTGTTTTTGAATTTTT